AAATTAGTTTTAATAGACTTGGCATTACACTTCACTCTATCAAGCATCCATGGTTCATTACAAATGGGTTACATTTTGCTAGTGAGAATATTTAATTACTGATATAAAATTTGAAATATTATGCATATAATTAGAGGAATGTCGGTTATCTAGCATGAGTGGAATGAATTAAATCAATCACTTGTGATTACGTGTAGTTTCACGGATACATAAAGAATGAATCAAAGTTATGTGATAGAATTATTAATAGGTTTGGTTGGTTTGATCCAATCTTCAACCTACTATATTAAATTAGACTTGCACCAGATTTTACTCTGGATTGCTACAAATTACGCCCATATGTTTAAACCAACTATATGTTTGGTTTTGACTCTTCGACTAGTGATGATAATAACTACAAGTGAATTTCTCATGCGTTCATGAATATACGCATTAATGAGATCTATAAAGTCTTCTTTCTCCGCATATTAAAATATCTTTTATAAGAATATCGCACAATAAGGTGGTTAATGGAGTAGTATATTCCGGGACTTCAGATTACCAACCAAAATTGGATGTCATAATATTTTCTGTTCGGTTAATTGATTGCCGAAGGTGCTGAATGTATGCTGATTTATGTCGACATTCTGCTACATGTACGTACGTAGAATTCTGCTTGCTGAATAGGTATTCAACTGGCTGAATTTTCGACTAGCTGAATTACTTATTCAGCAAACTGAATGCTAGCTAAATGCCGACATAAACTAGCATACATTCAGTACCTTCGGCAATCAACTAACTAAACTGAAAATAATATGAATGTATGTTGATTTTTTACGTGTACTTCCATTATAGAATTTTGACAATCTAGAATAATTATGCCGATGTTCTGTAACTAAACAAAGTAGAGAATCGAAGCTTCACGAGTTTGATAAACAAAATATAATGAGTAAGTATCAGTGAAATAGAAAATTCTTGACTTTGAATTTCATGAATGCATGAGAAATTCACTTTTAATAAATTATTTATTACCTAAAATAATTCTGTCGATTTTTTGTGACTAAACCAAGAACAGACATCGAAACTCCGCGGGCTTGAGATCAGTAAATAGAAAAGTCATGGATTGTAAAAAGTTTCAAATTCACATATAAAAAGGAATTATTTTATATACAAAAAGGACATGAAATCGGACAAAAGTATCGACAATGAAATGAAAAAATGGAAATAATTAAAAGGAATAAATGTGGGGTGAAATAATTTAGGGGAAATAGTCATAAGCCAGGGACGTGGGGGATTTACTGTGATCTTAAGGAATATTTGATTATAAATGTAAACGCTGATCTTATTATGTGTTCATTAGTAAATCTTTTCAAGTGCATGAGATTAACAAACGCCGCCAATCTATAGAACTCTAGAACAAAGGAAAAAGCAATCTACATGATGAGATGTATATGGGAAATTTGCGGGGGACATTACAAAGATTCGACTAAGGTAGTAAGATTTGTTCCCACACAAAGGATTAACCTATATGCAGAAACACAACGCATATATGATGAATATGATAATAGAATGGTAATGATAGGAGCAAAACGTGGTTTCTATGAATAAATTCGTTGTAATTCGCGTCATCATAGGAAGTTGATATATCAAACACACGATGGTTATATAAGCATAATTATATATAATGAAATACGTAATGATACAGTTGATAGAAGACAAAATTGGCGTATATTATCGGATTTTTAATAATTGTATTTCCCGCCAACAAGACTAAAATTGGTTTTTTATATGAGACAAAACCAAAAATCATTGTCAAACCTTCTGTATATGTCAATGAACTTGATACCGACGTATACTTAAATTCCACGTGATGAATTATGTTTGTTTTTGATTGTAACGTCAAGATCTCATCTATTGATCTATTGTCTACAACGCACCGACCACAATTTTTAAATATTTATCAATTATTATTAATTATTATTAAAATATTTATCAATAATTCATGCTCTTAATGATATGACTAATAATTTAAAATAAAGCATTTAAATAAAAAGTAAAGTTTATACTACAAGTATCCGATTCGTGCGAAAAGATAACTCATACCAAAACTCCAGGTCGGAATGCATCGGAATCCTGATCGGATGTGCCGGAATTGATTAAAAATTTTACTAGCCCATTCATTAAGTGGTTAACCCCAGAATTTTGGTAACAGTAACAAAATGAAAGATAACTATCACGTGAAACGACATATCGCATAATAATACTACTTAAAATAGTCCTTAAATGCTACTAGAATCTACTCGAATATTACTCGAATTATAATAACAAGGGGTCTTATGCGTAAAAGGGGAAATATATTTCCGAACCATCCCC